AGGGCCGGTTACTCAATGTCTGGTTAACACTAATCTGCGGTTAAACATCGTTATCGACGTTATCGACTCCCTGTTATATGCATGGAGTGGAAGACGTCGATAACGATGTTTAACCGCAGATTAGTGTTAGCCAGACATTGAGGGCCGGTTGTTCAATGTCTGATTAGCACAAATCGGAGGTAGAAGCTCCGACTGCTTATCGATCACATGTTATATGCATGATGTCGAAATCGTCGATTATGATGTTTAACCGGCAAGTAGTGATAACCAGACATTGAACAACCGGCCCTGAGTAACCGGCCCTTAATGTATATACTCTGATTAATAATATGAAAAATGGATTAGAACCACTGTTTAATGTTATATTTGATGCAATTTAATTTTTCCACTCGGGACGCTCTGCGCATTGCCACTGAATAATAGGTTTACTTAAAATTACATCCCGGGTCCTTTCTGTATTGCATCGTGGTGAATTCACAGTTCTCAGAAATTCACAGTATAGACAGTAACCAACCTTTTTGGGTTGTTGTTGTAGTAGTCGTTGTTGTTGTAGTTATATTCACTCCTGAGGAAGGCACGGGGTTGTGTGCTGCTATTTAATGGCCTTCCTCAGACTTTTTCTTAGATTTCAGGGTTGTGTGCTGTATTATTATTAGATAAATAAATTTAAGTATTTGTCAAATCGTGATTTTATTAAAAGAAAATTATAAATGGTGTTGAAAAACCAAAAAACCACCACAAACAAACGCTCGTGCGAAAACTCTATTTTTGTGTATTGTTAAAATTTATACATGGCGTACTTATTCTTTTGTGGACTTTATGTTACTTGAGAATTTAGACAACGTGCGAGCTGCCAGGTTCTGTTATCAATATAATTAACACAAGCTTTTCCGAGTGGTTGCCTTTCAATAAAAAGAATAAACAAATATTCGCAAATAAATTGGATTTATTTTATAACTGACAACTAACCTACGCTTTTTGTTCTTTTCTCCATTTTAATTTTGACTCCTTATTACCGCCAACAACTTTATGAGTATACATATTTACAAGCTGTCAAAATTTTGCGTAGTCCCACGAGCTAGGTAAAAACTATGGCATTCGTATTCACAACGAGAAATCTCAAAATTTTTGTTTGGTCTTTCCAAATTTTCTCTTTTTAATCGGTTGGCAAAGGCCCTCCTTGGCAGCGCTCCGAGCGTTGAGATAGTAATTTCATGTCAATTAGTAGAAAAGTGCCATGTATTTTTATTATGGCGAGAAAATTTTACATTTCTGCTGTGCCAATTCGTAACTTTTTACTGTTGGAAATTTTTGACAGTTGCTCTGGTTCAAAAGAAGTTGAGCAATTAAAATCAGAAATTACACAAAAAAGACTTTACTGACATTTATTCTTCTAGAACTAAAAGCCATGAATTTATTAGACGCCTTAGTAATAAAACCAAACCATCAGGCCGGGTTGAAAATTTTCATTCACCTCATAGTTAACAAAAATTTACAATCCGTAGTACTTTTCTATCAATTCGCAAATGCGTTTAATTTAAATCGTTTAGAAAATGCGTCATTTATGTATACCATTTTATGTGGAATTATTCAATAAGTTTCGTTTTACACTATACTTTTTGAAACTATTTGGAGTTAATTATTTTTTGTTTTTTAAAAGCAACCCTGCGTGCTTGGAAGGCGTGTGTCCCAATAATTTCATCCCTAGCATATTCATCCCCGAGGAAGGCAGTCGCCAAATTCACCGAAGGTTGGTTACTGGTTATATTGTGCAGAAATTTGACAACAAAACAAAACGAAGTGAGTATTTTATTTGCTAATTTTTTCGATTTCTATTGTTTAATTTAAATTTTATGTCTTTTTAGGATATGTTGAGTCAAAAAAGAAGGCGCAGTTGGAAAATGAAGTGATTAGTACGAAGTAGCAGCGCAGGCACATTTGGAAAATTATGCTGATAAGCAAGATAGAATTTGGGAAATTCAGTGCCTGGTTGCAGCATACCTATGTATTAAAAAAGTAATTAATTAAATGAAATTGTGTTTAATATAAATGTTGTTAATCGAGTGGCGTTAGTTAAGATGTGCTCCAAACATTTGGCGAACTTTTTTTCGCCTTCTCAACGTGCTAAGTTACAAGTTAAGATGACTGCCACCACGGCCGGTAGGAAGCCCGAAGCAAAGGGCAAACAACCTTATAGGAAGCTGCCTGGTGTCCCCGAGTCGTAGCTGAAGTTCAGCAAGAAGCAGGTCAGCAAACGTGCTACCCTGGTCAAGCACATGGTGCAGCGAACAAAGGTGGCGCCGTTAGTGGTACCGCTACTTTGGTTTTGCCGATTTTGACAGTTGTGGTAACTTGTAAATAAACCTTTGTTTACAAATCATCGAAAGAGAAATTTGAATTATAAGTGAAAAATCAGTTTATATTGTGTTAATTTGCAATTTGTGAGCGATTTTGGAGTTGAAGACTGCGTAAAAACTAATAAAATGAAGTGCTGTGTGTTAAATTGCGACAGCCATCAAGATGCAAGATGCGTAGATACAGTGGCGTAGCCAGGAGGGGATTTGGGGGGATAGATCCCACCTCCTTCGTCATTGAACTACAATTATTTACTTTTGAATTAATAACACAATACTATTTTATTCTTCTGATTTAAAATTTTTTTTTATTTCAGACGGATGACAAATTATCTTTTAATGAATATATGAGTAGTCCACTTGCAAACAGCGTTATGTGATTTTATAAGAGTAAACCATAAATTTAAAAAAAACGTCAACGACAACAAGTAACATCCGAACTGTATCTTTTTTTATTACCTGAAAATTTGCATAAATAAGAGCCTAATACTATTAAAAAAATAAAATTGCAGTATGGTAGATTTGCACATTTTATATTTAAAAATTTAATATTGCAAGTTTTGAAACAGTAACTTTTATATAGCTAGCTTTTTTTAGCTTTTCGCGTTCTCTCCTCTAGGAAGATTGGTTTGCTTCTTTTTTGCGACCTCTTCCACTAGGCACCGAAACTACCACGTTTTCTTGCAGTTTTCTAAGTTCATACGAAGAGGAGACATTTGAAAGTGTATAAATAAGTATTATAGCGACTTTTGCAAGAGTAGTTAACATTTCATGCTATTTTTTTCAGAATATAGAAAAATTTTTCACTCTGCTGTTAGTGGACATGAAACCCACCAAAAACTAAAAATCTAAAAAAAATTTACATAGCGCACTTTGCAAGTGGACTACTCAATTGTTCAATATGATATCTTATTTATCCCTTCTTTTTATACAATTAAGGAGCGGCTGAATGGTTTAACCCTCTAGTAGGCTGAACCGCCTCCAGACGGTCGTTAACTAAACACCTTTTTAGTGCACCTATAATAATTTTTTTCTATATTCGTAAAGCACGATCTTTAGAAAAAAATCGTACCCTTACGGCGGTGTAAACTTTAATCCGTTATGTCAATCCGTTTTATTTTAATCGGCAGTTGAATTACAGATTTTGAAAACACGGTTAAAATTAATTATTTCTTGCTATTTAGTAATTTCGTAATTAAAGAAATTTTTTCTTTTGAAAACTTTTTTGATATAAAAAAATTTGGTGGATTTCGTTGTTAAAAGCACCGTATTTTAATATAAGTTTTGTAATTATGTCACCATTCGAAATGGAGAAAATTGCTTTCGAACACAGACCGTCTACAGACCGGCTTGCCGACATATAAAAACCCAGTTTGCATTTTTGTCCGTCTGCAGACGAGATTGCCGGTTCGTAGGTCTACATTGTGTAAGAGAAAGCTGAAAATATGTGTAAGTATATCGGCGAGCCCGTCTCCAGACGGTCTTGGTTTTCCCCCCTGTAGGAAAAAGTTACTGTCACAGATCGAAATGGACATCATTTTTGGATTTCTCGTGCTAAATTCACCCATTCCTGAATGTTTCAACTCATAAAAAAATTGGCCTACTAGAGGGTTAACGATGTGCCGATTCCAACACAAGAAGAAATTGTAACAATGTGTCTTAAGCAACGAAGATTAAAAATCGCTTTAAAAGTAATAAGATTTTGTAGACTTGTACATAAATAAATTAGGGTATTCACAGTTTACTTCTAAAGTTAAAAGGTGGCAACTTTTACAAGATAACACACTCGAACTGTGAGCAACCCTTATATTTAAATAAAGTATTAAGTTGATCAGCAATACCACGCATTGCTAGATGTAGTTTTGGTTTAACGTGGGAACCTACTGCAATTTAATGCAGTTTTAGCTCCACGGAGTCCAAAACTCAACGGATAAATTTTTGCCTTAATCATTGCCCTGAAATGCAAGCATCTCAGTTCCAATGGCAGTGTGGGGTGACACACTTACCGCCTTGGTGAAGCCGAAGCTTACATAAAGCCGCTGCCAATCTTTGGGTCATGGCACCCGGTTGCAATGCAACTCCACATCGAACTCTTGAGTTCTCCAGCATTTTGGTATTAAACCACAACCACCACGTTACTCCCCGAAGGGCCGCAACCAAAGAGTAGGCCATAGTAAATATAGGATACTATGGGGGCCCCTACTCCCCGTGGTACCTTTTTAAAGTCTTAGGTATGACTTCGAAAGCAGCAGCTCTTCTACCAATTGAGCCTCATGACCGACTCAGGATTGGTAGCCTTTAACTGGGGTACCCGGGATTGTGACACCCGTAGCCTCGCAATGCGAAACCCCCCTGGGCTAGTTGGTACGGTAATCTTCACATCGGAAACTGCGTAAGCACATGTCCTAAACAGGTTCCCATGCAAAGCATCCCTGTTAGTTCATGCCGACATGGAAACAACTTAGGGCAACCATGTCACCACTTAAGATCTAGCCCCGCGTCAAGGACACCAACTTTCGCTAGACCGTTTGCCTTTCACGCGTTTGTGTTTAGAGAGCATCAACAAACCACATATGCACGCACGAAAATAAAGGTCGCGCCATTCGCGGACCGCTAACACTCTCTTCGTCGATTTGACAGCATCCACCCATTCGCTGACGTCACACAATACTTTTGTTTACATTTTCTGGTTCGTGACGTTTTAGGTTATTTCAACTTTACAAATTTACAAATTCGGAAGACTTTGAGCGTTGTTTTGTTTTTTGTGAAAACTGATAAAAAAAAGTTATAAATTAAAGAAAAAAATGAGTGCAGTGGTTAATTGTGCTAGTGTAAGTGCTAAAGGATCTGGGTGCGCTTTTTTTACTTTTCCGGCCGACATTGAGTTGGTGGACGATTTTCAACGCCCGAACCAGCGTCATCTGTGTAAAACACTTCACCACTGATGACTTCGAGAACGAGCTTCAATATAAAATGGGTAAGTTATACTATTTAATTCGCCAATAAGCGCTTATTGGATTTCGTGAGGATGGTGTGACTCAGGAGTAAATTTCACGAAAGGTAGCCGCCCTCATCGTAAATATGAAACCCCCCGGAAGCTTATATTTTTCACTTTTCATTAATACTGCTTTTTATTAAAAGAAATGTTTTAAATTGTGTTAGGCTACGCTAAAAAGCGTAAACTAAAGCGGGGCGTTGTGCCGACAATTTTCAAGCCTGCTGCGGAAATACTAGATCCTGACAAGGAAGCCCAGCAGCAAGTGTACAAAACCATTGTGAGCGATCTACTGGAGCAGTCCACTTCCAAAGGCATTACAAGTTTATATAGTTGAAGTTCTCCTAGTTATAAAAAAGTACATTTCAGAAGCCGAAGGTATTATGGGCCATAACCGCGCTGACGAGGAGAACTGTGGCATATTGCCAGATGCGTTGACGCCTCTGTGTTCCCCACATCGTGCCACACCTAGCAAGGCGTTTTACTATGACAGCACGCTTAAGGAGGTTGAAGATCTGCAAGAAAAATTGTAAGTTCAAAGTTTAATTAAATCTACATACATACATATATATATATCTATACAAACCATATTAAATTTTATTTTGTTTATACGTATTTATGTAGACGAGCTTCATTACGCGAAAACGCTTTTCTCAAAAGCGAACACAGCAAGCAACAAAGCGAGATTGCGGCTTTAAAGCGAGAAGCGCATTTGCAGCAGAAAAGGCATGACTGGGAAGTGGAGTCCTTGCGTAAGAGCTTGTCGGAGGTGAGAATGGAGTTGGCAAGTGTGGAAGAAAAGTTGGCAAAAATTTTTTTCGATTGGCGCAATCTTGTATTCTATCATTCTTGCCCAAGTATCATTAATCTGCATCAACAAGTTGGGGAGATATGACGAATAAAAATGTTCTCTCTGCTAGAGGCGTGTACTTTATCTTTAAAAATAATAATATTAATAGAGTTTCCCCCAGGGATCACATTAATCTGCTGTAAAAACTTCATAAACATCGGTTTAGTACTTTGGACGCCTATAAAAGACACACACACACGTACATATATGTATATGCATTCATTTTTATACCCGAGCGCACTTGTGCACAAGGGTATTATAACTTTGTTCACATAACGGTTGTTTGTAACAGGCAAAACGAATCGAGATAGATATAGACAAATGCATACATAAATGATCAGAATGAAAAGAGAAATCGATTAAGCGGTGACTGTCTGTCCGTCCGTCTGTGCACACCATAAAGGGACACTCAGTATAGTATAGTTATGTACCGCCTTGTACCGCACTTCCAATACCGCGTCTGTTTGAGTGTCCCTTAACTCGAGTAAAAATTGAGATATCTTAACGAAACTTTGTACGTGCACTTCTCTCGGGTGTAGGACGGATGGTATTGAAAATGGGCAAAATCGGACAATAACCACGCCTACCTCCCATATAACGGTAATTTTCAGAAATACGAAAACTGCGATATTTTAGTAACTACTGAAGATTATTCATTCAAAATAGATATTTACAATCATTTTTAGACGAAAAATCAGAATATTATCAATTTTTGGAAAATGGGCGTAACCACGCCCACTTATGGTTACATGTGTGTATCTTGGTAACCGCTGCACCAATTTCATCCAAACTTAGCACAGTTGTTGGCCTGGGTACAGCATACCAAATAGCCGAAAATTTTTAAAATCGGACAATAACTACGCCCACATCCCATATAACGGTAATTTGGAGAAATACGAAATCTTCGATAAATCAGGAAATATTAAAGCTAATTTATTCAAAATTGATGCTTGCAACAATTCTTTACCAGGAAATACGTTTATGATAAAAATTCGGAAAATGGGCGTGGCACCGCCAACTTATGATCACATATATGTATCTCGGTAACCGTTCTACCAATTTGTACCAAACTCGGTATGGTTATTGTGCTTGCCACATAAAAGCAAAACGTTGAAAATTATTGAAATCGGACTGAGGCCGCTTTTCATATATCGGTAAATTTTTGTTTAGCGACATACTTATGAACAGATTTTCTGCTTTTTGGAGGTGAACTATCCAATACGTAATTAAGAGTACAAAATTTCTCCTCAAAAACCAAGTTATAAAATAATCCTATATTAAAAAGATAACTTCTCCATCTGCAACCGTGAATTATCGCTTACTTTGGTAAATAGTGGAGAAACGTCAAAGACAAAAGGTAAACTACATACATTGAACGCCGCTAAGCAAAAACGTGTTGTTGATGTATTTTTATTTTAAAACTAGCAAATACCGGACGTGAAGCAGTGAAGGCCTTAAACGTATTTTTGTGCTGTTTGATAGTCGTTTTTTAATATTTCATTTATTTTATCAATTTAATTTAATGAAATTGTTCAGGCAGGTGGCCCTCCTCAAAAATAATTTCAGCAGTAAACCCTAGGTTACACCGGACAATATTGTCAAGACAATTATGTCAAAATTATGTGTTTGTTGTAATATGAATTCGCCGTGTTTCCAACAAACACATCATTTTGACATAATTGTCTTGACAATATTGTCTGGTGTAAAAACTAAGTAAACTTTCCAAAACCTCTTCAGTTTGATACCCATATTGCAATATTCAATTTATTTTATCAATTGAGTAGTCCACTTGCAAACAGCGTTATGTGATTTTATAATAGTAAGCCATAAATTAAAAAAAACGTCTACAACAACAAGTAACATCCAAATTGTATATTTCTTTTTATTATCTGAAAATTTGGATAAATAAGAGCCTAATAACATTAAAAATCAAAATCTCAATATGGTAGTTTTTGCAAATTTTATATATAGAAATTAAATATAGCGAGTTTTGAAAGAGTAAGTTTTATATAGCCAGCTTTTTTAAGCTTTTCGCGTTCTCTCTTCCATGAAGGTTGGTCTGCTTCTTTTTTAAGACGTCTTCCACTACGCACCGAAACTACCACGTTTTTTTGCAGTTTCTAAGTTCATCAGAAGATGGAGACTTTTGAACTTGTATAAATACGTACAATAAGGGCCGTTTGCACCATGTCTAGTTAATTCTAACTCCCAGTTAAACATCTTTATCGACGTTATCGACACCCATCATATAACATGTGATCGATAAAGCAGTTAACGTGCTTAACTGAAGGATGTACCTCCAGTTATAGCTGAAATACAATGCCGGCGAACGGCGAACTCACCACAGCGAAATTCGCGCTTTCAAAATTAGAACACCCGCAAGCATATGAAATTGAACACAGCCAAAGCGAAATGCGAAGTTCGCTTGGCGGCGCGGCGTTTCATGGCGATAGATTTATTTCTATCGCCCTGCTGGGCGATGACAGCTGTGCGTGCCAAAGGTGGCCGTATTTGTTTTTTGCTTTCAAAGTTTTAAAAGAAAACAACCTGAACACGATTTTTTTTTGTTGTTTGAAAAATATAGTTGTGGATTCGTTAAATCTGGCTTGAAACAAATTATTTATAATAATCTTTCTTTGTTTTACAATTTATATTTATTATCATTTCCTCATTTCTAAATATGGTTTAGTTTTTTCTAAATATGGTCACCCAAATTATAAAGGCGACCAAATGGGATCAGCTGTTTTCGCTACCGCTCTAATTCTGTTTAAGTAGGCGAAATAGCTGGGCGAACGGTGAACGACAGCATCGCCCAGATCGGCGAAGTTTGCCGTTCGCCGGTATTGTATTTCAAGCATTAGCGTTAAATAGACATGGTGCAAACGGCCCTAAGTATTATAGCGACTTTTGAAAGTGTATAGATACATACCATACATTTGACAAACCAAGCGAAATTTCCCTTTGTTTCAAGCCATTTGTGCTGTGTATGGGGGTGCTTGAAGGTTTGACAAGCCGCTTGAGGGAAATTTGAGCAAAAAATCAAAATTTTTTGATTTTCTGGCCGCCATGTTGATGTTTGGTCAAACCGCTTGCGTTGTGTATAGCAAAATCGCCTCATTCGCAACGAAATTTTCACCGAGTAAGGACGTAAGAGAGGAAAATGAAAGAAAACCATAATATTTAGCATTGCGAACTGGAAGAAAACTAAAATTCTTTGCTTGAACGAGTCATGTTTGCATGGTGTATGGCGAAATGGGAAAAGTAGGTTTGAAGAATCTTTGACAAGCCGCTTGTGTGGTGTATTTCGCTCTTAAGTATTTTAGCGCCTTTTGCTAGAGTAGCTAACATTTGATGCTATTTGTTTCAGAATATATAAGGATTTTGCACTGTATTGTTAGTGGACTTGAAACTACTTTAAATACTGGTACGTATGATTCTTGCCACATATGTACATATTTCTCTCTATTCTCTCTTCTCTTTTTTATACTCAGCTAGCACAGCGCAAAAATAAAAAAAAAGAACCTTTGCTAGCTTCAGGCAGGCTCAAAGCGAAACTTATGTACAAGCAGCGCTCCGCTCAAAGCGAAATTCATGTACGTATGTACAAGCAGCGATAGATGCCAGTTTAACACAAAACATAAACATGAGACAAAGTCGAGTAATTTTGCCCAAAAGTCTTATCTCTAATTAGTATGGGAACCTGAACGAAAGACACAAGATCACGTAAGAACAAGAGAGTGAAAAAAGTCGATTTTTTTAGCGGGTTCTACGCCATCTTGTTTCACTGGAAAACGAGCGAAAAGTAAACAAAGCAAAGAAAACGACGAAAACCAAAATTAGCCAAAACTATTGTCAGCCACTTTAAACGCACAATTTAGGTAAAATGATGCAACAAAATGCTTTAAAATGGGTTGTCATATTGAATTAACTCTTCTTTATTTGAATAAAAGTGTAAAATAGTGGTGCTTGTGATGTAAACAAACGCTCAGCTGACGAACCCGCTTTCGCAAACTTTTTTCTCAAAACCAGTTACAAATACAACGTCGCGTTCTTACGTGATCTTGTATTTTTGGTTCATGGTATGGGAACCAACAACAAACAAAGTTACCACATGGTAAAATGTTTTAAAGTTACCAGGTGGCCAAATTAACACAGTAGATAATATAGAACTGTGAGCACCCTAAATGTAAATAGATACGCGTAAATATATAAATATGCAGATATATTCAATGTGTCAAAACTGAAGTGTATACTAACGAACCTTCTACAAAACAAAACTGGACTACTCATTAATTAATTAAAATGGTGTAGTAATTTAATTTTTTAAATTTAAATAAAGCATGAATTCCCCATGGAATAACCGAGTAGACAAAAAATATAGGTAATTCTCTAGGGTGGGGTAACAACCCCTAAAAAAGGTGCGGAAAAGTCGGGAGGGGTACCAAACAACGCGTTTCGGCCCCCCCTAATAACAATCCGGAGGGGGGTAGATAATATTATTAACCATTTAAAAGTTATGAACAAAAAACTTTTGTTAAATTTCGTTGTTTTCTAAGAGCAATTACCACGTCAAAAATGCGCTAAATCACCAGTTTCCACTTTTAAAACACTACTAAAACGTTTCCGGTTATTATTTTATGCAAACCAAATCATTTATTCACTTTTATTTTATATATTTCGTTAATAAAACAGAGTAAACAATAATAATAAAACAGAGTATAACCTCAAATCGCTGGTATTGCCACTTTATTTCACATTTCATTTGCGCTATTATACCAAAGAACGTAAATGTATAAGAAGCGACAACTCGCTAAAGTCGGCGAGTGAGGTCTGAAAGGTTGAGATGAGGAGTTCGCGTCCGTTTTAACATCCATTTTCGTAAATGAATTCGCCGCACATATGGTTTCGCGGCGATAAAGAACCTTAAGAAAAAGTGACCGATGATAGAAATA